GTATCTGTAGGCTTGGCACAATGCTAAATGAGAGTAAGAACACTTGAAAAGTGAAATAAACTGAGTCAACACGTAGATGCAGATCTAAGAAGAGGACGCAAAAATATGTGGTGCAATTGGGCTATTTTGAAAATGAATTCAGTGAACTGTGATTTTGTTAGGTGTGAGAATGGCATGGTGGTTGTGACATAGACTCCACTGTTGAGGTGATTCTCGTGCAGACTAAAGTCTGAAAACCACTGTCCTAGAAAAACGCAGTACACAATTAGGTATCAGAGTAACAGAGACCTGAGATAAGCAGTTAGAGTACATATCAAGCTTTTGGTTTCATCAAAGATGACTGGAGGTGGGAGGTCTCGGATGGTTCAAATGTCGTTTTTTCACTCTATCTTTGCCATAAAATGTTCATGCTTTAAAAAAATAACTGGTGAGATTCCTGTTATTACGTTCTGGGCATGAAGGAAAAGTTGGAGGTGAGGGCAGGCACAGGTGAGCCACTTTACAAACGCATCCTCAGATGCCCAGTGGCTTCTGCTTACAACTCATCTGCCACCCCTTGTTGAAAGGGAGCCTGGGAATTAACAGTGAGTGATATCGTTGCTCACCATAAAACCAGGGAAGCCGAGGAGAATGGATGCTGGAAAGAACTAGTAGCCTCTAAGGCTTCCTGGAATGGAATCAGTCATTAATTAAAAACCTTTCAGAACATTATTCTGAAATAGCTCTTTATTACTCAGGTATGGAAAAACCATTTTTGATCTTTTAGATGAATGTCTACATCCTTGTGGTAGGCAAAGGTCTTTGCTTACTTTTATTACCAGTATGGCCATTTATTGGAATAAATACAGTTTATCTCACATAGGTAGACGCCAACCAGTCATACAGTTTACCTTACATTTGTAATGTAAATGAAAGCAATAAATAAAAACATCGATTCTCTACGGGAGTGTAATTCCTGTCTTGGAAATGCATCCTAAGGAAGTGGTTCAAAGGAGGAGAAACTCTACTTACAAAGGTGAAATTATTGTTATCTATGACAGCAATAAATAAATGGAGAAAGGAAGAATGAAAGTAGAGTAGTTTACAACCCAAATATCCTACAGTAAAGGGAAGTGAATTATAGTACAGCCATTACATAGCTGTAAAGATCATGTAGCAACATGACAAAGTGATGGTGGCAATGGGAAAAGACAAAGGGTGTTTGTGTGTGCACATAAGATAAAAGAGCAGTCTGAGAACTATAATGGTTTTGTCAGACTGTTAGGGTTGTGGATATGAATCGTTTAATTTCATTATTATTATATTTTTTGAGACAAGATCTCATTTATGTAGTGAGACTGACCTGGAACTCATTGTGTAGCCCAGGCTGATCTTGAACTCACAGTGATCCTCCTGCCTCAGCCTCCCAAGTGCTGGGGTTACAGAAGTGTGCCACCATGCCTGGTTCCTTTATTATTCTATAGGAAGTAATAAAAATGGCAACAAAAAAAATTAATTTTCCCAGGCTTCTGACCATAATTTTTCCTCAGTTGCTGGTCTTCTTAATGATTTAACTCAAAAAGTAAGGAGGAAGCCCAAGATGGGTCAGGAGAACGGCCCCTCTGTGGTTCTCTCTGAAAGATGGGCTCCTGCTCTGTGTGCCTCAACATCTTTCCAGGAAGGAAAGCTCAGTCTGCTATGCATCAACGTCTTTCCAGCAGTGAGAACACATTTACAACCATCTTCTGATTCTCCCTGGCCAAAGTTTCCTCATAATCAGTGTCATGAAGCTAGGAGTGAATCATCCCAACTGAGATGTGGATTTGTGGACACCCAAACAGAACAAAAAAATAGAACTTCCTGCTGTATGTCTTTACTTAATATGATGCTGTATACCCAACCTCCACTGTCAAGTTCAAATGCTTTCTGAAATTACTATGTATTTGCAAGCTTGCTCAGTTTGGCAAGAGCTAGAATTAATCTTGGGCTGAGCAGACCATTAATTTTTATTGTGCTGAAGCTTTCTAAAATGGCTTTACTCTTTGAAATGGATTTGAGCGCAGCATGCACATTAATGTGTGTGTTCTGTACCCCAGGTAGCCAAGTGACTGGTATGGCTTTAGAAAAGGTATTGGACCATCAGCAAAGCCAGGGGCCTCTGGTACAGGTAGGTCCTAGTGGGCTGTGGGCTTAAATTCTTGGCAGGAACTCTTCCAAAAGAGAAAAGTCTTGATTTGCTAGCAATTGAGGGAATTGAGCTCAACCTACATTACTGAGAACTAACTTCCACCAAGTAATCAAGTAAACTAGAATATTTAACCAGATAGTTAAGCTTAGTGAAAAGTGGATACAGGTAAATCCTGGAAGATTCTGTGAGATTCTTTTTAAAAATAAACAGTGTATGCTCCTGTGCCTATATTCTCTGTGTTATGCACACTGAATTTCTTTTACAATGAGGCAAAATTAGCTCTGTTCTCCACTACTGGGCAAGTGCCATAAATTGAAAGAATCTGTGTAGGGACGCAGCACATCTAGAAAAAGGAAAGCTCATAAATTCCAGGGGTTTGGTTTTGGGAGCACATTTTATTTTATAATACCAGAAAAGTAACGTGTACTAGCAGCATAATACAAAAGTGAATCATCAATCTATTTAAAACTCATATAATGGAAAATTTATTCCTAAAATTGTAACAACAAAAACAAAGATGGCTTAGAGACAAGTTGACGAAAATATTTGAAAAAAAATCAAAATTTTCATTTTATTATCATTAACACAAACAAAAATAGTAACAACATAGGGACACATTCACTTTACATTCCCAAAACAGATGCTCATTTTTTTTTTATGAAATATGTCTCTTTCTCTGTCACATAGCAAAGTCACATATATCTTCACATTCTGGAAGGTAAAGGGAATCTTCAAATTTAAATA